ACCTCTTTATTGATTTCATATATATTCCTATGACAAGTCCGTGTGTGATCAGATTGTTCGAAATGTGTTGCGCAAATACATTACACGATTCAGACAAATTACGTCTTCTTATTGCTTTATCTAAATTACTACTGATTTCCAGAAATCACACCTATATTCCATTTGGTTGATGATGACTAGCAATGTAATCCAGGACATACGTCTTCTCCTAAGTGATATTCATTAGTCCTGTATAACCGAATCTTCATTGTTGGATTCATGTCTTAGGGAGTCATTAAAATTAACTTAGCATTTCGGTGGAATGAAAATTAGTCAACTGAATCTACGGAATAATTTCCTCAAAAATCAGCTGATACCTGTTGCTTGAGATGTGGCTAATGCTGTGCAGTGTGATGTGGTGGATGACGGTTTAACCTTTGAATTGATGGACGTTGGACCTGATGTTCACTGAGAACACCAAGACTCAAATGAGATGCAGGTACGTCCAGCTGAATAGTCCCGAGCAGTAAAAAATGTGTATCCCGAATTGCAACGCAAGCCTCTATCATCAAACAGACAATGTCAGATTAACCTTCAAACACCATCCAGCCATTTGGAAGAGAAACCAGTATCAGATTCCGATTTTTTTTGTCGAATGGAAGTCAGTCTGAGAAAAATGCAGAATAACTTTCACGAATATTTCAGTATTTCATAACACTAATTTCTCTTGTTATCTATTATCTGCAGAGTCAACGACATTCACTAAATCAGACTGAACGGCACTATGCAGTTTACCATTGGGTTTCATTACAAATCATTGCCTTCATTCTGTCAATAAAATTCACATCCTAACTATGATAGAATACTGCTGAGATGATATAGACAAATAATGATGGAAATCTGATCAAGTTTTGGTACAAATCTAGGATTGCACTACACAAAACATATTTGGATCAAATTACCTTCCACTCAAGAATAGTGAATTCTGTCTGCATTGCCTATTTTACACTGCTTTTATATTTGAGCAACTTGTATTGACCTGAACTGTTTATTATTATTATTTACTGCTTCTGTCGAAGCGTCGTTTCAAGTGCAGGCGGACGGAACTGATGAGAATATCAAAGTGAGGATCGAGAAAGCGAGGCTAGCTTTCATTTCTCTCAAGTCCGTGTGAAAGTCAAAAGCACTCAGAATGGAAAATAAGATCCAGATTTTCAAATCCAATGTGAATTCAGTGCTACTATGCAGATCAGAGACTTGGCGCGTCACTTCGAACAAACTACAGACCTTCATCAGCAGCTGTCTTCGCTCAGTACTCATATTCAGATGGCCAGAAAAGATCAGCAATAGGGATCTCTGGGAGCGAACGAGCCAACCAGGAACCAACTGTGCAACAAATATTCAGGAAGAAATGGAGATGGATTGGCCATACTCGGAGAAAACAAACCATCAAGCGACATCTCACGACAGGCTCTCGAGTGGAACCCAAATGAAAAGCGGCGAGTTGGTCATTGGTGCGGGGGTGACATGGGGGAGGTCATGTGAAGAGGAGATGAAAGCGTGTGGGCAGATGTCGAGCCACGTGAAAACATTGGCAGAGAACCGAATGCAATGGAGACGTGCGGCTGAAGCCCTATGTTCCTCTAAGAACTAAAGCAAACAATAAAAATATAATAATCAGTCGATAATTAATGGTTCTCATAATTTTGTGAGTGCTGATTTGATTCAGCTTCTGTTCACTGTTACTTTATCATGTGAAAATTACCTTCATGAAGGCTGTAACTCACCCTGGTCCATAGTTGCACACAACCATCTGTTTCTTTCCACATAGTTTGGAACCACAGCCGATTTCCTTCGTGGCAGCCCAAACGATCTGTATAGATTTGAAAGAGTTATGAGTATGAAATGAAATACAAATCATGTGAAGTTTTCATTTTGGCACGTAAATGGATTTGAAGAGGTGTGGTTTCAAGCGACCTAATGATATTCGTTTTACGATTTCCATCTATAGATTTTGACAGATGTTTTATACAGAAAACTGATAAATGTGATGTTTGTTGTGAATTGACAGAAGTTCTGGTTCATGAGCCACTGGACTGATTTTCAATGGTTGATTTTCCCGGGTGTTAAACTTTTGAACTCTAAGTCCTGAGTTCAATTGTCGATAGGGTTATGAGTGCTTACCACAGAAAGTCAATCGCCATCCAGAATAGCTCAGTGGTATCATATGTGACTGAAGCACTAGACTTCAGATATGCCTTGCTGACAAATGTTAACGAGCATGAAACTTAGGTGCAGAGCTTCCTGCATATAGCTTCCAACTAGCTGTTGAGTGAATACCACAGGTGAGCACTCAAATAGGTTGAAACAGAACTCTTTTGTTTTCAATTATTTTCCTGGTTGATATCATTTCGTGGTGTAACTTGCAATGTATGTTTATCTATTCTGACCGGATTGTGTAGACCGATCTTTAGTTTAATGCAAAGCAGAGGAAGTAAGCTTATGGCTGGATTCGAATCATGTGAATTTGCGATGCTCATCTACTAGTTCCTTTAAAAATTTATATTTCCGAACATGGCTGACAGTAACAGTTTGAAATTATTTTTTAATTATATGCAAGTCGTTATGAGGATAACCGGTTAACATGTTTGGAATGCTGGGTACATTTTTGTGACAAGATCATCTGAAGTTGTCGATTCTTCATCTCATCGAAATAAAATAACTATAACTCATACTCATTTAATATGCATATGAAGTATATAACAAGTCTAAAATAGAACTTGCTTAAACTATTCGGGTTGCACTGATTGTATTAGAGATTGTGTGCCAGGGAAAAAGTGAAACATACCTGCTTGTAAGTGCCACATTCTGAAGAACATGCATTTTGATCAAACTTGTATTCTTTGTGTTCATTATACCAGGTGTCTAATACTCTAAAATATAGAGATGGTGGAATTAGAACAGATGAAATTATGCATACTGATTTTAATTGTATTTCAACAGTTTACACACATTGATAAGTTTTTTTTATTTTGGTAATACTTCGAGTACACCTACTACTCGTGATCACACTAGCCGTTTGAATTGTTTTGTTTTCAATCCACACATTTATGATATGTAATCATATATAAAGTTCCTAGAATTATATACCAGGATGCTGGCGGTTGTACTGAGTCAACTGTGTTACATATATTCGGCGTGACCTTAATGAATATAGCTTCTGTTGTTAGTTTTTCTTTCCATTTGTTCATATTCGACTTCAGAATATAAATGTTGTCTTAATCAATGTTGTGCATTTCATCCCATGTATGCGCAGCTACAGGCGAATTTTTTTCCCCAATTACTGTAAGCTTGTGTTCCTGTGGGATAGCCCTTAGACGATTATGTTCATTCACTCTCATTTTGAGAAATCTAGACAGACATTCATCACAAAATATTTTATAAAATTACACCACTTTAACCATCATTCTTATTGAATCCTTTAGTTGGTTTATTTCATTTCTGATTAGATTCGCTGGTTTGAACGTGGTACGAATCCCAGTAATTTTGTGGTTTCTTCGAATTGCCTCTGATGGACCATTTTTGTATGGTACTGTGACTGTTTTCTGTTTGCGATCTTCTTTCTTGTCATTCTCTGTTTTTATCTCTTTATTTTTCTCTCTCGTTTTATTATCTCTGATGAATTCTTCTGGGTAGTTGTTATCGAATAACATTTTGAATAAGACATTTGTTTCTTTTCGTTGGTCATCTGGTATTGTTGTAAGTCTGAGCATTCTTGTTGCAAGACGTTGTATTAATCTTAGTTTTACTATTAGTGGATGACCTGAGGAAATGCATTTGTATTCTGAAATCTAATATGAGCAAATGGAAAGGAAGACTAAAAACAGAATCTATATTAAATTCACAATTTTCAAACTGGTTAGCCATTTGTAATCTAAATAGTTTGAGTGATGACATTTCATTATAGTTTCCTTTCGGAAACCAAGTTATTCCGATCACAATATGTGTTCTGTTGATGCCATGAATGGTAACCAAGGAAGCAAGCAAATTTATTTGCATACATATGAGTCTATATTCATTAAATTCACTCCCAATACAATTAATAAGGATGACTTAACAAAACCATCAACATCTTAGTATGTAATTCTAGGTACACAAAAATGGAAGCACCAAAAATGAACACCATATACATATGAGTACAAATCATAAAAGTGTGAATTAAAAACAAAACAATTCCAACAGTTGATGTGATCATTGGCAGTAATTTTGCTCGAAATATTACCAAGAACAAAAGACCTTATCTCTATGTTAAAACTACTGAAATAAAATAATAACAAATTTGATCTATTCCACAATGTACAAATGTTTTACTGACAGAAAAATGTACATACTTTTGAATAGACTCATGTTCTGCTACAGCTTGACCCACTTTATCATAATTTTCAATGAATATCTCTTCAAGTTTGCTTTTTTCCAGCACACATTTATCAACATGTTCTTGAGCTATATCTGCCAAATTTACACTCCATTTCTAGAGAGAATAAACAAAAGGAGTCAAAAAAGTGCTGCTATTTTCAAAACATCAATCACCAGTATGTCATGATTATCCCGTACCTTTCATTCAGGAAGATGATCAGAAAATGATTGTCAGGAACTTATCACTTTACACTCATCAATAAAAATACAATTTGACATGCATATTCGACAGCTTTAAATAACAGTTAATAAAAGAACAGCGATGACTTGGTCGGGTAATATGAACTATTTCATCGAAACCCTGAGTTAGTCAGATGGTAAGGACTCGCATCTTCAATTTCAAAATCAACTCTGCTGTTATTTACTTCTGTAAATTTGGGAATTTGTAGAATCTTCGTGTGAAAGAATTACATGTTCACATATCCCTATCTCTACTAAGAGATCGACCCTGTCACATCGAACGAGGATAGAGTGAACAGAGACAAACACGTCCTTATTAGTGGTGTGTGAATTTGAAATGTCATGTGGTGAATATTCTCACTTACCAACTCAGGCATCTCTTTCGCTTTCGGTTGATTGGGTATTTCACCACTGAGAGCAGAACGTCTCACTTTGTTGTGAAATTCGAAAACTGTCTTCAATTCATCAGTGTCCTGTGCATTGATGAACAGTGCAGTCAGTTGAAGTATTAAGCAGGATATCAAGATGGCCTTTTGCATGCCTATGCTCTGCTTTGCTTTGCTTTGCTCTGATTGATCTCTGAGTACACGCTTCACATTCGAGCTTATATACGGAATCTCACACTTGAGAAATCCATTTCACGACAACTTTCCGATTGCTCCCGATGTCATGTCAACAGGCATAGAAATATGTTTCATCGACTAATGACACTCAAGATATGGAAAAGCAGTCTTCGCTGTAATGCGGAATGACAGATATCCTAGTTAATCAACTTGAGTTGGCTACGTGTGATAAAATCAATGACGACATAGATTTACCGTGTGTGTTTATTGTCGATTATATAGCAGATCTAAATTGCAAAAATCATTTATTCTTCTTCCAATCATTCATGTGACTTGCAGGACCCTCACCGTCCAACTTATTTGTTGTTATCTTCAATAATCATAATTGTCTGCCGGGATGATGAATGATCCTATGAAATAATTTTATGTTACCGACTTATACACTTCAGTTGCACATAAGCTGGCGAAGAAAGCCCAACTATGCCATACTTTATCATCATTGGACAATGCTTCCTGTCTACATTAAAAGATTTGGTTGCCTTTTTTGATTATTCTTATATGGCCACTCTTCCTACCTATTTCGTTATCACTACGTCCTTAATCCGTAATTTGTAGAAACAGTCAAGTTTTTCAATAATTATGATATAATATGTCTTTTCTACCCGATCTTCCTGATTATTACACTTTGAAATTTTATCAATTTGACTTTTGACCTGAAGTATTTCTAGAATAGTACTACTACCTATCTTCTGTTTATCACACGTAGTAATTTTATTAATTTAGGCTTTGCTCGGAAAAAATCCTGTAACTTTCTCACGCATTTAGTATAAATGCACAAATGTACAGCTTAGGCGATCACTTCGTCGAAAAAGAATATTAATAAGAAAACGTCCCATGGTAAAATAATTTTTGATCAATTTTTCACTGCCATATTCGTTCGAAGAAGTTTGGCTTATACATTTGATCTTCTCTCCTCCAAAAATTTTATCAAGCCATGATATTTAGGCAGTTCATTAAATATGGCAACCTTGGAAGTATGTTTTTAAGTAAAAAGGGAAAATTCACGAAATTCTTTCGCAAAGTATGAGAAGAGATCTGGAATACTCAGGGTGACTTCAGAAACCAGCGGTGATCTATCTAACTTCAAACTATCCAGTAATTCACTTGTGACAGTGAAATTGCGTTCGCGAAATAGATCAATAACATTTTCTTCAAATATATTTCCTAATGAAATCGAATAACACTTGGTGATATTGGTATATGCTAGTAGCAATCACTGGCAGGCTTCTTGTTTATTCACTGAACATTGAGTAACACTCAGTGTATCGTGGCACAGATAGTTTCGGATTGTCGTAGGTGAAGTAAAGTTTGAACTGAATACTAACTAAGTGTAACTTGACATCATGGGAACACACTTTGGCTTGCATGTTGATGAAAGATTTTTTTTACTGCTCAAATGGATGCGGTGATATCTTTGTTAAGGTTAATCACTCACTCGTAAAGAGAATAAGTTCATAGTAATAATAAACTGATATCAAGCCTTTTAATTAGCATTATGAGATTGAATACTTCTGGCTTGATTCACGTACCCTACCTAACTAATAACAGAAGTGTTGAAATGTTTGCGGAGAGTATTCGGTGAATCATAAATAGTAGTGAACAGCAAACACAGTGAATACAATTCAACTGCGCTTTCAAGTTTTATCTGGCTTCCACTTATCGATATGATGGCTCACAGCTTCGTTGTTTAATTTTACCGGAATATTTTTTTACACGTCATTGAATGAGTTGTTACGTGGATTCAAAATAAATATGCAAAGTCCGGAATACGTTGGTGGTTGAAGCAATACTACGATTCCTATCCCTTTTCTATGTGCCCTAGTTTTCCCCCTGGTAAAAATGGATTTATAAGTCCGTGACCGTATGATGTACGGCATTATTAAAACTTTTCCCTTAGCATATTTGGATATCCGGTAACATAAGTATCAGAGCAAAGATGACTAACAAATCCTCATTTGGCGTAGTGATTAGAAGAAAAAAATATCAATTCTTTCATCAAGTGTTAAAATGTGAGCACTATATGATTATTCGTATGTACTTGAGAGGATTAGAAACTGGAAGAGAAGATGAAGGTTCGATGTTTGGGCATGTGTTCTATGAATGTCAAAGTTTCTTTTGTAAGGATGGATCCAACCTGTTTATACTGAGGGAAGTCAACGAAATCCTAGTTAATTTGGATGATTAGATAATTGACGCCAGTTAATTTCCAATGGTTTGTTATCATTTAATTGGTATTAAATGTTGGCTATGTCTCCATTTATTAGATACTTAATTATTTACATCCCCTTCGCAAACAGTCATGATAAGTAATTCTCAGGAACTTATCCATGTTCAGCATTCACAGTTCGCAGTATGTAACTACCTCCGCAGTTACAGATGTGTAGGGACAAACTATTGATATACCGCAACATCACACGTCTGAAACAAGCAATATAGGTGCCCTCATTCATTTTCGCTAGAAAAAAATGGCACAATCGAAAGATCTATATTTAGAAAGTCATCATGGACAGGACAGTACATGCATTTCAGCAGCTTTGTTCCTATCCAGTATAAAAAGAACTTATTCAGAACACGGCTCAATAGAGCACGAAACATTTGTTATGGTAGTACTATTGAGCATGAAATAAAATCTCTGAAGGATATTTTATCTAAGAATGGATATCCTGAGAAGTTCATTAAAAAATATTCTAAAGAAATTATCCCCTGCAAAACAATCCAAACAGTTCCGAAGAAATCTGTCTATATTAGTTTGGCAAATGCTCCATCATGCGAGTAGGCAATCGCCTTTCTGTACGACCTACGTATTTGCTTCCACAAACACACTCGAATTGATATACGCAGTTTGAAATGTCGAGGATTGGCGACTAGTCTTTCCCAGATTGCTGAAGCACTCGCTTTGTGGTGTAAAGGATAACAAGTTTTGCAGCGCAATAAGTTCTCTTGATAGCTTCATCGAGTCCTCGTTTGACTATTTCCTGTAAATCATCTCCTTTGAATGGCGAAATGGTTAAAAACAGCTGAGTGCAAAGTGCCAAAATCCTCAATGACAAAACATCTTGTGGACTATGGACATGATATCGACGCTGTCAAGTTATTCACTATTATCAGCAGACAAAGAAACAAGAAGATGATTGCAATTGCAGAGGCTTGTGCAATTCGAGTTTATAAACCAGGTCTCTGTGTACAAAAGGAGATGGTCGTCACTTTGAATCTACCATGGTAAGACGTTTTACTTATTATTCTACCTCTTATTATTATTATTATTCTGGATTCATTAAAAAGTTCTCTTATCAGTAGCATTATCTTAACTCACTCCAACACTATTATAATGATTGTTAATATAACTATTACTATTGATATTACTCTGTTTGCAATTCTTCTCATATTCTCTAATGAGTAATTGTTTATCTAAGTGATGTAATTGCAGAGTAATGCATTTTATCTTAATTTTAATCTCTCATACTCCCTCTCCCCTTATCTATTTGAACATGACCTGGAAAAACATTCTCACCTGTCTTTCTGTATGACTAATTCAATGTAGTTTATTTGCTTATCAGCCTTATATCTTCCAATGTAATTTCAAGAGTATATATATCTGTGTATGTAGAGTATTCAGCTGACGAGTTCTACCGAAATTTGATGAATTCATTAAATCATCCTGCTTTATTAACCTTTACTGCTTGTTTTAAATTCGTATCGGGAAATTAATGTTTTCAATCACACATTTGCTTTTCATAGCTTGTTTAACCAGAGAAAATAAAACTCATGAATAAATGCCAAAGGAAAGTAGAAGTCAAGTTAATAAAGACATCAAGAATAATTCAGAAGTTACTAGCTTCATTGTTTATTATCCCAATTCCATTTTGAATCAAGAAACTAAAAATTATTGTTGCCATGTTACCTTGTAAACAAAGGAGGAATCTGCTCGATAATTTGTTTATACCTAGATCACAGAATATAGATCACGGATCATGGAGGCTAGGCAGAGCGGACTGTTTACTCCGTGTTGAGTTTGCTTCTGACATCAAACCATTCAACATCTGCTGAGACTTGATGATTTGTTCTGAGCTCAAATCTATGTAGTGCTGTCAACTGTACTGATATCGCACCTGCGACTAGTCTAATAATAGTCAGAAGGAATCAGTCTACGTTAATACATAGGTACTCACTTTTATTGGCCTTCGAAATGGTTCCATCCATTAAACCGTCGTTAAAGTGTGTGATAGCCGAAGAGGCAAACGTCATAAGAAACACAAAATTTCAGCTATACTACTAAATCAGAACCTAAATGCGCCGAATATAAGAAAAAGAGAGCAACTGGCATTAAAACAACAACAGAGAGATAAATCGATTGTCATTACCAGAGCAGATAAAGGCGATAGTACAGTTGTTATCAACTGTGTAGATTGCGAAAAGAAAGCTATTGATCACATTAGTATTGAACCCTATGAAAAAGTCGACATGACAAAGTCAAGGATAACAGTGAATAAACTGAAGGCTGAAACAAGCAAAATGTTACAGTCAATAAAAAAGAGTACCTTGATGTATCACTTTGACTTACGCTGGCTCCAAAATATACAGCCCCCTTTGGATTTTATGGATTGCCAAAAATACACACACCAGATAATCCAGTTATGGATTTTGCGATTTCCCGAACCTACAAATTCTCTAAATACATTTATTGAATACTAAGTCCATATGAAATGAAAGTGGGTTGTGGAGTGAAGAATTCGTATGAATTTAAGAGAAAAATCAGCACATCTTATATTGAAGAAGATGAAGTAATGTCAAGTTTTGATGTTGATTCATCATTAACGAATGTTTCCCTTAAAGACTCCTAAAGTATTATTGAAAACTTACTGCATTCTGACAACGAACTCAGTGTTCGTTGTTCTTGAAATCCAAAACAAATTATG